CTTGCAGTTTTAACACACATTAGCCGAATTCATATTAGAGACGGGAAACTCGTATTAGACGGGAAACTCGTCTTAAATTCGAATTTATCCGTCCCTAAATTCATATTCAGGCGGGGTTTCACAGACGAGTTTCCGTCTAAGACGAGTTTCGCGTCCCTAATATGAATTCGGCTATTCAAATATAAGGGCTGGTAAACTAAAAATAAAAACTCCTTATATTGATAAACATTATAAACGTTCATTTCATGTCACGCACGCTAACACCTGCTTAATAATTAACTTACGTCTTCGTAAACATTATAGTCGATACATAACTGGTACATTAGTTTAATAATATGGACAAAATGGAACAAAACCTCTGAAAACAGCAGTTGTAGTTCTAATTATTTTGGTAAATTTAGTAACAAATATAATCCCCAAACAGCTCATCGCTTTGTATGTTAGCGCTATTAAAAGTAGACAATATTGAACAGTGATCTGAAGTTATCATGCAACTGACAACAATATTATATCTCAAAATACCTGTATATGATGATATTTCACAAATATATCGGGATTTCTGGACCAATTTTAAACTTAGCAAGGCAAAAAGTCTCCACTCAAGAATATATCTTCTTATCAAAAGGTAAAATACTTAAAATACTTGATTAAATTGTTTACTTCGACGGTATGTAAATTAACAGCGTTTGACTTGCAAGACGTCAAAAACGGACGATTTCAACGCGCTGCCGTTTATCGCGTATTCATTTGCCCAAAGAAGTATTTACGTCAATTTAAAGCTTGTTTATTAAAGAGCCAACTAGTAGAAGCGTGATCGATTTGGAGCTTTATCCCATGGTGAAAATCGGTTTTGTTAAGAGGGTATCGTAAATGAGGTAAGATAGTGTGCTCCAAAACTACGATTATTTCTATTCCTAAAAGTAACTCAGATTTCCTGTAAGTCACGTACCCGGTCCTTTGAATAACCGAAAACAAGATTTTTAGGGTTTTAGATCGATTAGAAACGGTTGTCGTCGTGAAATTTGTCGGTAAAATCAGCGCATATATTCCCAGACAAAATGGCGATTTAGGGTGGTCGTGTTAAAACGGCATTTTCTCAAAGTTAAAAAAGCATTTGACCTAAAAAAATATATGGTGCATTTTCCGATATAATAAGGTATATCTCGGCAAAATTTGAGCAAAATCGATTTTTCCGTCGTGGCCGCCTTATGTTTGATTTTTGTGGACATCCTCTCTTAAATACCATCCCAAGTATAAATATCCTGGTCAGGGGACCGACAGCGTCAAGGATGATATGTGGAGTAATGTGAGTGGAGTATGATGTGGAGTAGAAAACAATGCGGCCGTACACGTGAAAAAGTTGGAAGATTTATAACATATATATATATATATATATATATATATATATATATATATATATATATATATATATATATATATATATATATATATATATATATCGTTTTACCTCAAAAAACCACAACAGTCTGTTTCATCCGTATAGGAATCATGTTGTGGTTTTTTGAGGTAAAATGAAAAACTATATTACGCTCTATCTACATGGTATTGAGCACTGTTTGTGTTTCGTAAACCAAAATCTTAAGCTATATATATATATATATATATATATATATATATATATATATATATATATCCTGCATGAATTCGCCTAATCGAATTTGCATATAATTCAGTTTGCTATATATGAAACCCATGTAATGGTGGCAATATTTAGAATAAGGCCAAATAAAATTAAAGGTAATTTAACCCTGATTTTTAAACATGAAAATAATTACCTTTTAAAGGACTATAGCCATTTTCTACTTCAGCTATTGAAACGATATCACGGCTGTGTGCTTAATTTCAAGGAATACAGGTTAAATAGCAGGTGGCATGCCTTGAATAGAGTAACAATGCTACACAAGTTTTAAAAGTGCCCATTATGTTAGTGTTATAGGTAGTCATCTACCCTTAGTATAGGTATCCCACCTCTGACCGACAGTAGCAACCTTTAATCAACAATAAAGAACAGTATGCTAATTGTATAGAGCCAATATGCTTCTATACAAGAACAAGTATAAAGACTTTGCAACAAGAGTCAGGTGAGAACTCTTCAATTGGTCACTTTGATACCATGCACAGTAATGTGCGTATATTTGTATAGCCTCGGCGAGGTATATTAACGTCCTACAGGGCGTCTTGTTTACTCTTAAAACATTTTTGCATGCTCTGAACATAATTGTTTTGCTAATATCCGTCATGAAATTGCAAACTAATAGTTCACTCTTCATCGAGTTTTGTTTTTCTTCAAATTAAATAAAGTGTTTTCATGTTTTTAAAACTTTTGTATATAGGTCGTCGAAAACTGTCGTTTTCAAAAGTATGAACAATGAATAGTGATTGTGTAAGCTTAAAAATATTATTGAACACATATTCATATATGTAAAAATAAATATATTTTCTGGCCTTGCATGCACGCATGCATGCAGCGAGTATTTAAAAAATGTAAAATGTGTGAGCATTTATTCCAAAAACTATACCAGATCCAGAATAACAGTTCATTTTAGCGCAATAATACAAGTCTTTCCTATAACTGCCATTTTTCTGCCTGAAATATGGCAAGGTTAGATTTCCAAAAACTAAAACAAAAATTTTGACACTCGCCGCATCCAAAAAGGCCATCTTTTTTTAATTGAATTGAATTTATTTGCCATGACCTCAAAAAAACCGTTGGGCTTATGAGTCGAAGTCACCTCATTATATAATAATACTAGTATTAAATATCACACAAAAAAAATCATTTTATGAAGAAAAAAAATATATATAAATATATATACATAAGGGTTTTAGAGATTATTTTCTATAAGAAATTTCATCATCTTCTTCTTAAAAGTAAATAAGCTACCCGAGTTTCTTATATCAGACGATAGTGAATTCCATATTATAGGGCCACGATAAAGTATAGTAATTTTTTTTAGATTAGTACGACAAGCGTGAGGCTGAAAATTATTTGCTGATCTGGTATTGTAACTATGTTTGTGACAGTTACATTGGAACAGATCATGGGAGATACAGGTGGTAAAATTTCATTATGATAACAAAACATGAATCTGGCAATGTACAGTGAATTAACTTGGAAAATGTTTAAAATGCCTAATTTCATAAATAGAGGTGCTGTATGCGCACGGAAATCAGAATTTGTAATAGCACGCACAGCACGTTTTTGTAGGTAATATATTCTATTTAAATTTGTAACATAGGTGGACGACCATACCAAGGTTGCAATATGTAATGAAGGGATAAACCAGTGTGTAATACAATGAAAATTTAGTTTTACAAGATAAATAAAAACGAGACTTATGTATAATACCACTGGATTTTGAAATTTTTTTAGAAACATGATTAATTAATGTGATCTTTCCAGGTGAGGTTTTGGTCAATATACACACCTAAAAACTTAATAGAGTTATTAACTTGGTGTAATATCTCATTTTAATAGTGAAGCAGAAAGTTATGGTTGATCTTTTTCTTACTAGTTTTGAAAATAACGTACTTGGTTTTTTTCACGTTAACAGAAAGCTTGTTACTTTTCAGCCAAAGATCAAAATTATGTAATTCATTATTCATTACATATTGTAAATGGTTAGGGTCGGAATGTGAGTAAAAAACACTCGTATCATCTGCGAAAATCAAGGACTCTGTCAGATTTGAGGCATTTGAAATATCATTAATGTATAATAGGAAGAGCAAGGGACCTAAAATGGAGCCCTGAGGAACTCCAGGATCTGAAAATCTTCTTTGGTAGAAGGAACTGAGGATAGAAGGAACTGGTAGAAGGAACTGAGTATCTTCTTTGGTAGAAGGTGGCAAAGCAAAACTTTAATTAATACATTTTGGTCTTCATATGGGGCTATTCATGTCCTGTTGACCATACCTTCAACCATATTATGTAGTGTATGTAGTCTATTTTATGTATGGTTGTAAAGTTAATAAATAAATAAATAAATAAATAATACATCAGTGCGCGAACTCGTCCAGTTTCATGCGTCCCGTGTGAAAGCAAGGGAAAATTATACACATGTTTGTCCGCTTTCACATGTATCTGACCCGGTGCAATAGACCTGCGATATCGCGCGGAATGCCCCCAAAATGCCCGATTTTATCAGTGGTACTTCCCGTACTAAACACATGTTGTTTCACAAGATTTCTAATATGTAGATTTCACAAAAACGCAAATCATTGCAACTACCAAGTTTCAAGTAAAATAACTTAATTGTAGCATCTCTGTATCAAATATTTTTCAAAACCGGAAGTGCGGTAAAAACCTTAAAGGGAAATAGCAATATATATTTTTATTTTCTCATTTGAAAGAACATTTAAGACTATATTTATACTCTTTTACCGTTTTTTTTTCTTCATATCTTGCTTACTTCTATTTCTTATATTTTGATTGAAATGAATGAAATGTCCGCCATCTTCAAATTTGGTATATATGCATGTCACGTCCATTGAACTATAAATAAACTGGAAGGCTAACTGCTATGATGAAGGCCTATGATTTGATGAAGCCAAAATAGTTTTTCTGAGTTATGAGCAGAAATACTTGACCCCAAACGTCGGGCTATATATCAAATTGAAGCTATTGA